TTGTACACAGCTACGTATTTATTTAACCATTTTGCAATGTGATATTTTCTTTAGGAAAAAAATCTCTTCATCTGCCTAGATCAGTAATACCCAGACTGGAAGGTTTGTAGGGGTTCCTAGTGGTGTATTTAATTAAAAACTCCCAGCCGAAACGTCTTTCCATTAAAATTATAAATTTAAAGTCAGATATTTACCGTAAAAATTATTTAAGCTGGAGCTCTGATCTAAGAATGTTCCGTTAAAATTATGAATTTAAAGTCAGATATTTCCCATAATAATTCTTTAAGCTGGAGCTCTGATCTAAGAATGTGGAATGTAAGAACTTAAAAGTGTTTTTTTTTTGGAAACTGACGTACACATTACGTATGACAGGTTTACTTGCTGGTATCGTTAATTTTATTTTATTTTATTTTCAAAAATGGTAGTAAACTCTGAAGAATTGCCTGCCTATTAATGGTTGAATATTATTTTATTCTAAATTTCACTTATAATACAATTTTGTATAGAACGTTCATTGTCTTATCATTTCTTGTTATTTATTTTTCTATCTTGAGGTACGCATATACTGCAAATATAAATTAGGTTACTGTACGAGGAACCATTGCGTCTCTGACGTGTCAGACCAGGTTTCTCTTCTGATGTTACAGGCTTATGTAGGAATAACCCATAAAGGGAGGGCTTTAATTAATATGAACCAAATGTGGTAGTTGCCAGGTGTTTTGCAAGTTGTCATTGTGGGACGAACGGCAAAGAAGGGGATTTGCTGCATGCGCATCTACATACATTTCAGAAAACATAAACAGTTACAACATGTTTCGGTTTTATTAAACCATCATCAGGTGTAAAATTATATTAAATTTAAAACTCAATTATATAATTATTAATATAATTTTACACCTGATGATGGTTTAATAAAACCGAAACATGTTGTAACTGTTCCAATTGTAAATCGATTATTCGATATGGAACACAGAATGATATTTTAATTATCTTATTTTAAATACATTGTGATTTGACGGAATAACCAAATAATTTAATTTTAATTTAATAAATCACAATATGACGCAACTACACTATCTTAGAGATTATGATGATGATAGAAATAATTACAATGGTCCATCGACAACAGTCAGTGATTTTGAGATGTCTGCCTTAGCACCAGGCCACTCTAAATCTTTACCTGACTGAGTAAAATCCAGTGGAGTCCTGAAAATAGGCCGCACCGCTTGCAACACACCTGGTAGGTACTGTACGCTAGTCTATTGGAATATTAATGGTCAAAGTAAAGATTCTGTTGTCATCAGTAGAGTTCATTTTCTTGTTTCAATCATTGCCAACTAGTTCCATCTAGTGATGAAATAGTAAACTGTGTTGTCATGGTCTGAAATGATAACAGAAAGAAAAGTTTTGAGTGGTATATTCTGTCATGCTGCTGGGTATATACAATAAAATGTTAGGTGTAATGGCAAATGATGGATATTTAACCTTTAGTATACAGAAATAGGGGATTTAAAACTGCAGAGGGACTGATTAAGAGTAAGTCATGATGAAGGTTAAACAAGAAAGTGTCATACATTATAATAAAAATTCTTCCATTGTTTTTTTTAAAGCTGGGGAGTTTGTAGAAATTTGTAATTCTGATATATTTTCAGTGGAACGTCATCGATTGTAATTGTTCCGTATTTTACATCGTGTCGACTAAGTTACACACAGACTTCCGTGTCTTTTGATCAATTATTCCATTCCTTCGAGAATTTTAATTAGAAAACAGTCTAGGAATTTCATTTTCACGTGACATAGCATTTTATGAGCGTATTTGAATGATTTTAATATTTTTAAAAACTGATTCGTACCTATCGTGTGTGTTCTCCACAACTCAGCCTACTAAGATCTTCATTATTTTTTATATCTTAATTGCGTCATGTTTGTGTTTTATTGATACAATATTTTTATTTTCCGTCTATACACAAACTTAAAATAATGTTGTTTAAAATTACTTAAAATTATAACATTCTCAGTAGACACTGCATCTTGTTACATTTTTTGTATCGACGACATGTTTCAATGTGTATCACATCATCATCAGGTCTATCAATTTTAATATATTTTAAAAACTGTTGTACATTTTGCGTTGCGTTTATTGATTATTTTAATTTGTTTAATTTTAAGTTTTTTCTCTTCCTTTTGGTTTGGAGGTTGTACTTGGATGTTTTATATCGGGTTGTAATTGATGTGTTGTGTGTCCGATATTAAGAGACGGTAAACTGCAACTTGCATGATGCAGTGTCTACTGAGAATGTTATAATTTTAAACAACATTATTTTAAGTTTGTGTATAGACGGAAAATAAAATATTGTATCTTCATTATTATTCATGTACTTTTGAGAAATGTCCTTAGAACTATTATAGTCCAAGGAAGTGAAGCGTCTTTAAACATTCACTGCTGTCTAGAAGCATTTCTGTCATTTCTCATATGCATTCATCCATCATTTTATGAATTCCACTTTCATTTCAGTTTTGCCTGCTGAAATTTTGAATGAATTTTGTATAATATTAATCTTCGATGATAGAGAGCATTATGGAAAGTGGGGAGAATGTTAGCTTATGCTATATGTAGGAGAATTTTTGTAATAATCACCGTAAGACGTGGCAAACTAGTGTGCGTTAGTTCTCTAGCTACCAGGTCGTTGAAGAAGTTAATGTTTTCACTGAAGGTTGTCGTGTATAATAAGTTCATACACATATTTAAATAAATATTAGGTACTACTGCCGTATTGTCCAAGAACATTTATGTCTGCTGAGACCTGTGT